TATGGCCAGCACTCGAATCAAACCATAAATCTTACGCAAATAGCACTCAAAAAGCAATAAGACTATTTCAACGCCATTGTGTGCTAAGTAGATTTCAAGAAGGCGATACAAATTCGAGCCACACAGTACAGGACAATGCGTTCGGTTTGTTTTGGGCCCCCGGCCTCCGAAGTCGCCTCCGATATTGATGTTGCTGCTGCCGCAGTTGCAATTGCTGCTACCAATACGCCATTTCCATGACAATACCCGTCTGGACCCGGGCTAATCTATGAGCCAAGATCGCAGGCTGTAAGATGCTGCAAGATGTTCCGTTTTGTCCAGTTTTTGCTGAATCAATTTGTTAGAGAAACAATGACCCCGCCCGGGACAAAGGACCTGGAACTGAGAGGCGTGCGACATTAGCAGACAGTTTTGCGGCACATGAGGGTGGATTCTGTTTCCTTTCTACCTCAAATGGACAGCCAACTGAGCGGATAATCGGATTGTCCAGGCTGGCGTTTTGGCCGGTCAAAACGTAATTTGTGGGTTTTTAGGCCAATCCAGCTGCCGAAAGTTACCAGTATGCAAAAACTTCTTCTCCTGCCGAAGACACAGCCGAACTGCCAGCGGGTGGCTTATCGCATATCGTTTATCGCTTATCGCCATAATTCCCACTCAACACTCAGGAAAGTTCAAGGAATTCCAAGGATGAGGAAGCACTTTTGAGGAGTGCGACGTGGTCGCGGCAAAAGTGTCACACAAGCAACCACATGCAACGTCATCGTTGTCGCGAGCCACAGCCATTCGAGATGCATCTCAGCATCTGAGGCATCGGAGGATCGGCAGCTGACCCAACATGCAAAGGCGATAATCACGAGCCACAGCAGCCGGCAACGGCAACTGTGCCACACTTATCTGATCAGCAGCATCAATAAGTCGTACCTATAGATGGTTGACCGAAAAACCTCAAGACGCGACCAAAACAACCAACAATATTGTCAAGAAAAATTCTGTTCCCCTTTTACCAATCGCCCCTTTCTCCTATTCACTCGAACTTGGGGAAGTATCTCATATCTGTCCCACATCAATTCAACTTTGTACATTTGCAAGTGCCACCATCAATTAAAACTAATAGAACAATTAATGAACACAACAAACACAAACCGCAAAGTGCAACCACAAAGCGAGAACTTAGAAGGAGACAACAAAAAATGACGAAGATGAATATGGCAATCTATATATAAGACATACGAATTTCGAATGCACTATTTTATAAGAAAACCGGTAAAATAAAACGATGTAATTTGAATTCCAAGAATGTCAAGAAACCATGACATACTAAATCCGTAACAATTATTTGGCATTTAAGAAATAATCTAAAAATGTTCAAAAATTAATTTTAAAGATTTGTTAGTTATAATGTTATACAAAATAATTAAAAACTCTACTTTTAATAATGTCGTTTTGTTACTTTCCTATTTGCGATTTCATAATTGGTTTACGAATTTGGGAAATATTTATAAATTATAACATATTGTACAACCATCATCTAAAGGGTACTACAGGCGCATGCGGAACTGACTTTTTAAAGAAGCTAAATAAAAGAGTTTTGTCTTGCGTCTTCATCATCAGCATAATAATCACCAAGATCATCATTGTCTTTGGCAATTAAGCCAGATGAATAAATAAGTAAATGAATGGGTGAATGCATGGGCTGCCAGTTCATCATAATTTCTCAACTCTAATTCCCAAGAAATTAGAAAAGGGTGCGGGTGGCGCTGCACCGCTCGCTGAAGATCGCGGAGGCGAGATTGAACTGGGGGCGTGGCCGGTCGGACCACGCCCACCTCCGTGGCAGGCAAAGTGCACAAACAGTTAAATGCGATCGTCTGCTCCGCGTAATTGCAGTCAAAGAAACATGCAATTTAACTCCGCTGAAAACAATTGAATCTATGAATTATGAAATATTTTAAGTCAAGCAAAATGCCACAGACAAGTGGCAGCCTCCCCTTTTCCACCTCTGCCTAATTAACTAAGTGCCACGCACCTCGAAGTCACAGCTGAAAAGCTGAGAGCAAAAACCCATTTTTAGCTTCATGCATTTTTAATTCCCCTAATAGCTTTTGGCTTCCAGCTCGACTCGGCCAGACATTGATGGACCAGCAGCGAGTAAACACCGGCGAAAATTAAAACACCAAAAATGCTGTCCTCCGACGACGCAGCTGCTGGCCAGATGCAGATTAATTCCCGGCCCAAAGTCGCCCAAAAAAGTTGTCCTTACCTGGTCGCATCTGCGGGTGAACTAAGCCAACTAAGCGCAATGTGTCCTCCATCAAAATTAATTACCAAAGGAGCGAGGCAGCCGAGCAGCAAGGCCAATTGTCAGTTGCGCTGAGCTCAAAAGTTAAAAGGGGGCGACGCCGACCCACTCCGCCCCCACCACCCACTTCGCCCATGGGGCTCATCAGTCAACACTTGCTCAACAGTCTAAAATGATAAATTGTCATCCCCTTGGTCAGAATCACTTGGCTCTTAGCGCAATTTCTGGCTGAGTCAGCAAAGTGCTGCATACTTTCGGGTGCCACTTGATTACGACCAATTTCGTCTGATTTTGATACGAACAGCATTTTTATCACTTTAGTCGTCGACAAAGGACACCGAGAGTGCGATGAAGGAGATTACGTCTATATATACTACCCTCAAAAATGAAAATATCCTGTAATAGTCCGATCAAAAGGTATTGGTAATCCCATGTTTAGATTTCATTGCGATTTTCTGATTTCGCCACTAGAAAAATATTAAGTTGGCATCTGTTTCAGGACATTTTTAAAAGCCTTCAAGGTTATTACGAATATGGCAATAAAATTGCCGTCAAACTATATTATTTTGGTACTCGTATGTATACATAAAAATAAATAGTAAAATGGTTTTACAATAATTTATTTAATGGAGAAATAAAGAAATAATGTAACGAATTGACCGTTTATCAAATAATTATGAATAATATATACACATGTAAAATTATATATATTTTATATATTTTAATGATGGTTAGCTTTCATTCTCGTTTAAAATATCAATTGTTAATTTATCCTGCTGAGAGTTTCGGAACTCGAATCAGCCAAACAATAAAAGGATAATGTGAATGCAACTCGTCAGCCATAAAAGAAGAATATGCAGTGAGTGGAGATTATGTGAGATTTATTGGCTAAAACACACTGCATACCCTCCACCTACAAGTTAAGGCCAAATTAATTAACAACAAGGCAAGCGCATTGTGTGATGCCGCTGCGGGTAGCTTTGTTGATTTTTAATTAAGGAGTTGAATGAAAATCAAAATTAAAGTGATTTATGCCAAAGATAAATGCGTAAAGAAAAATGCCAGGGCTTTAATTATAAACAAATAAGAGGGCAATGAAGTCGCAGCTAGCATAAACAGATAATTACAAGCACGCAAAGTTGTGAAGTCACTAGAGGGTCGATTTTTGTTCAAAAACATTTGTGTCAATATTTACCCACGACACAAGGATGTCAACTGATAGTCTAAGCTGGCGCTTCCTTGGCAAGTCCTTGGCGTATCGCGCCACTCTTGTTCCCAGTGTTTACCCAAACCGCAAAGCTCTTTCAGTAGAGGTGGTAGCAAAGGAACATTGTCGATGTCCTGTCGGCGATAATGTCACACATGATTGCTCCTGGGTGGGTTTGCCTCTAGGTCTGTGTGAGTTTCTAATTAAAAATGTAAAACATTTACTTTTGTCAACGGGTCGGCGATATCTAAATTGAATACACATTTGTGGTTGACATTTCGCCCTTGGATTTTGCGCTTTAAGGGGGCAAATATTCCTGGCTAAAAATTAAATAAGCTTTTCTATCACTCTGTTTATTACAAAAAAGTATTGACAACTCAGTCGCTGCCTCCTGTGAGGATTGAACTCACGACCCCTGGTTTACAAGACCAGTGCTCTGCCACTGAGCTAAAGAGGCTCACATAAACAGTCGACAAAAATGACAAAATAGTGAATGGCAGAAGTCTTTTCTGAAGACAGCATTTTTTAATAATTTATCATCTTATCACAGCATGGTCCAATGTTTAGATAACAATATTTTCGAACCTTATCAAGTCGAAAAGTAAGTAGTATTGTGTTATCAAATTTTCACAACTTTTTTAATGGACTTATTGTAATTGGTCTTAATATGATTGTTTTGAAAAAAATGTTAATTTGTATCTTTTGAATAATTTAAAATAATAATGAAAACTAAAAATTGTTATTTAAAATTTGTGTTCTATTTTTTTCTTTCAACAAATATTTTTAAAAAAATTTAAAAAAAAAAAGCTTCACTACTGAAAGTTTGAAATTGTGTCTCCATTAAACCTGAAACACCCATTTAAAGGCCGAAAAAATGGTTAGGCAAAACAAAACAGGTTTTGCACCGCTTAATCCTTCCAGACGAATGCGTTGAAATTATTTATTATGACGCAAAACTTTTTCCCGGCCGCAGCGCAACGTGTTCGCTTTATCTCCTGTCCAAAAGAGCCAAGGGGTCTCGACTGGCATCCGCCAAAAACGATACTCCATACGCCCAACCACCCACTCAACGGGAAATCAAAAAACAAAAGTGGAACTTTTCCCAGTTAAGCCGGCTCGATAAAGAGCTTTAAAAGGTGTACTCTGTACAGGACCAAGGGCAGAACAATTTGGGTAATCTGAATGCTCAGCTAGCGCAACTTCAAAGGACTCCAAATCTGTTCATGTGGCACAATCGAATAAAATGGGTAATTTTATGGGATAATTCCTTAAAGAGAATGAAAGAAGAGGATTAACTTTTAATCGAAAGAAGGTCAGCTTTGGCCTTTTATTCAAATGTAATCGAAAGGGAATCGAAAAATATAATGTGTTTTTTAACCCTGTTTCAGTAGGTAAACGATATTATGATAAAACCTTTCCAACACTTCTTAATAATTCGATTGCAGTAAGCGACTTTTACTTGGCATTTAAGAAAGGGAATTTCAAGCAATCAATTCAGTCTTAAAAACGCAGTCGCAGCATTAAATAATTTAACAAACTACTTTAAAATATTCAAAAGCTAGACTTAAATCGTGACAATGCCAGTGGACCAAGTTGTTATTTCCTACATCCGCAACCGCAACTGGATAAATGTCCTGCTGCTCAGATCGATGGATCTGTATAGGGCGGTCCTCGGGGAAAGTCGCAGCGAGAGGATCGAGGTAAGCCCCAACGGGATCTGCTGGACCGAACAGAACCTGGAGTACCGCATCATGGTGGACAAGTTCTTCGATATTGAAATCAAAACAGATCAGGGCGAGCCGCCCTATTCCCTTGTCGAAGTGGAAGACAACAACGTGGCCTTCGGCCTTGGACTCCGGCGCATCAAGCACCGGGTGCTGGAGCAGCTCACCGTTGACGTGCAGCAGGGCAATCTAGCCCTGCGTATTGACCCATTGACGCCCTACTCCTTCCACTGCAGCAACTGCGCCAATGAGCTTATTGGGCAGAGGCAGTTCCTCCAGGTCAAGCCGGTCCCGTTGACGACCATGAAGCCGCAGAACTACTTCTGCCACCGCTACAGGACCGCGGAGTATCCCAGGGAGGAGGAGCTCTTCTTCGGCCTCAACTACCTGGTGATGTGCACCCAGTTGCTGGGCAACGGGGTCGCCACCACCCAGGGTCGCCGTCGACTGGAGTGCTCCCGCTGCAGGCAGTGCGTGGGCGAGTTCTTGGGCAGAGATGTGGCCGTGCATCTCTACGCGGATGCCTTGCGGCTGCTGGACGGGGACTCCCCCGAGATCGAGTTCAAGGAGATCTTCGGCCATGTGACTGCCACCCAAATGATGCTGCGCCTGCTGCACGACGCCGAGCCCATTAGCCCGGACAAATCGCGCCTCTTCCTCAAGGCCGTTCGTCCGGATGGTCAGATGCACTTCTTGCAAATGCGCGTGGACACGCGTCAGCTGCACATTCTGCGCTCCGAGCTGGACTTTCCCGAAGCACTGGAGTCTGGACAAGCTCTACCCATGGAGACCGACACCAGCAGCGAAAGTGACTCCGAGATGCATCTTAACTACACCAGCAGCAGCAACTCTAATCCACAATCAGGCGACGAAGACATGGATCGTTCTCTTCCAAAGCCAAAAACCACTGAGGGAATACCCCCGAAATCCGTGCGATATGTGCAGTTGACTGGTTTTCACGGCTGCCGCGTGAAGTATATTTTCTCGGGAACTGATCACGAATTGAGCGAAAACCACGAGTTCATCATGGGGTGGCGCGATGACGGCTGCCGCAAGCTGCGCATCTCCTACGCGATGATGGCGGAGCTGATCGGCGAGCTGCATGCTAATGAGTACCTGGTGGCCAACCTGGAAAAACTGCCGCCACCCTCCAAATTCGACAAGCCCCGTGTCAGCTACATTATCTTCGAGGAAGACGAGAAGTTCTATGCCAGGCAGCAGAAGTTCATCAAGCAGGCCGGATAAGAATCGCGTTTCCTGTACTCAATAAATAAAAAGCATAATATCGAACGAAAATGATTAATTTCTAAAGATATTTATACCCGTTACTCGTAGAGTAAAAGGGTATATTGTATTCGTGCAAAAGTATGTAACAGCTAGAAGGAAGCGTTTCCGACCCTATAAAGTATATATATTCTTGATCAGGGTCACTAGCCGAGTCGATATAGCCATGTCCGTCTGTCCGTCTGTCCGTATGAACGCTGAGATCTCGGAAACTATAAAAGCTAGAGGATTGGCATTTTGCATGCAGATTCTAGGAGTTCCTACGCAGCGCAAGTTTGTTTCAAAATGGTGCCACGCCCCCTTTAACGCCCACAATCGCTTATATACGATTTTAAAAATTTAAATATTTCGGAAAAGTAAAAATGCAGTTTTATTGTGTTTATCAATACCTATCGAAATGTAGAAGAAATTTTTCAAATCGGACCATTCGTTAAAAAGTTATGCGTGATCAAAGTTTCTATCTCCATCTCCCTCGCACTCCCTTTACCTGAGTAACGGGTATCTGATAGTCGGGGCACCCGACTATAGCGTTCTCTCTTGTTTTAATTCTATTTTGCCATCTTAAAAGCTATTATGTTGACAAAGCTATTAATATCAACCAATATAAATTTCTTACCTATAACTAGTAAAAGTATCTTGACTTAGGTATTAACTATAAATAATTAAATATTTAACATAAAAATATTTATTCGAAGAACAGAAACGTCAGTTATTTTAATCTTTTACTAAACTAGATGTTACTAAAAAAGCATAACAGTTTTAAAGTTTATACACAAAATTAAAAAATTATAATTCCCATTTCTCAAAATATTTAATTTCCTTATGTAATTACCCTCTCGTATTTCATAACATTCTTTCCCAACTTTACATTAACCCTTTTCCTTCTTGCGATTTTTCCATGATATTTTTAAAAGTTCCTCAACTCTTGCGGTCATATTCACGGCATATTTTCTTAATTGGCTTATTGTTGGTAATTAGTACAGATTTAATTGCGGAAACCCTTATAAATTTTCCCGACAACCGATGCGGTTTATGGCCTACCTCCCCCTTTTGATAGGACTGACCACATCATTAATCGTTGGCTGGTTAACGAAAAACAATTTGTCCAAATAACAATTAGGGCCAAGCCAACAACAAACAACAAGTAAAGCACCCTCAGGAAAGGACACTCCAACGCCCACCCAGCAGGAAAAGGAATCAGGATCGGGATCAGGGGAATCGTTAACAGAGTTTGACGGCTGACAGTTGGCTAATGAAAATCCGAGGGAGTGAAAGTGTCCGAGGATGTGACGCAACTTGATTAACGATGGCACAGATTTAAAGTTTCATTTCCACCAGTTTAAATTTCTCTTTAATTCGGATGTGTTGGTCCTGCCTGGCAGAAAACAAAAATCTATTCATTACGTATGCATTGCCTGTCCATTATCCTACATGCACTTTGTTGCATTGTTCAAAGTGGGTTTCAGCTGTTTATTTTTTGTATTTTATATTTTGGCTGCCACAACAATGAGTTTCAGTTTGGGATATGAAAGAATTCGCTGGCAGGTGGATAGAAGGCCTAATGGTCCGGGCCCCATTGTTGGCGATGCTTTTGTGGATTGAATCTATAGTACGAACCTCCCTCCTTAGAAACCTTTCCAAATTAAGAAAGTGCATAGAGGTTATCGCTGCTTTCGTTTAAGGGCGCCACAGCCAGCAATTGCCAATAATTAACATAATGAAGCCATAAATTGCGCTAGTTGAAGAAAGTCCAATGACACTGCTCTACAATTGCCTACATTGGGGTGGCCAGTGGGGAGAAATATTTCTAGAGAAAGCATGCGAAATTAATATTAACGCAACGCCCCATAAATTAATTTTGAAATGCAGTGGAAGCCTCGAGAAGCCTCTAACAGATCTCTATCCGGGATATTTGTCCGTGGGGGAGAGTGAAAGTGAGTGTCCCCCTAGAAAGGCATTCCATATGGCCGGACCTGGTCTTTCACTCGCTCCACTTGTTAATTACCAAGATGTATGCGTGTCGCGCACCACAGACCAATTAACCCCCATTATGGTCAGCTGAGGGACAGCTCTTAACACTCCACACTCGTCCTGGACGGGGTCAAGTTCTGGTCCAAATAGAGGGGGCCAGTAATTAAGATTTCCAAGAGCCACCAGCACACATCCGTGGCGAGACGCAAAACAAACTCATTCCAGAGGGGCCAAATTGCTTTATGATGTTGCAGATTATGATAATGAATGATGCCATCTGGACTTGCACTTGGTACATTGACCAGGGCAATGTTGACACTTTAAGTGATTTAATGTTATTGTTTTGCCCACCGCCCTCACTGCACGCACCCTTGAGGGAAAGCATTGAATAAAAACAAAGGAACATTTCTTTTACATGATTATTTTTTGTATAAAATATTTTGTATTTATTCAAATTTTATGATACAGTTAGCAAGCTGCTCTTTAAATATAACCTTTAAAACATCTTTGCTACACTTTTAAACTATTAGATTTTCCAATCGAAAGGATTCATTAAAATTGATTTTCAATGGAAACTTTTTCGCTTATCATTTTTGAGCATCGAGCTATACATTACATATATGTGGCCATACATTTTTGCCAGTTTATTGACACAATTGCGAGCAAATAAATCCCCGACTGCGGGCCACAGTGAGTGCTGATTGCACATCTCTGTTTCCCATCCCAACTCCCTCCTCACTTTTCCAGATTTCCTCCCTCCCTGCGAGCTGGGAGTGTGAACTGCCATTGAAATGTTTTTGATTGGAAAAAATTTAATTTCCTATACGCTTCACTCTGCTTATCGCAGTTGCATTGTGCTCCAAATTCGACGAAAAAAAAAGTTGACAATTTTCCGCAAAGCTCATGCCGGCGGAATTTTAAATTTAAATCAAGTGTTGGCCCAGCGGATATCTAAACTGTTTTCTCTCACCGCATATGTTGTACACAAAACCTCAAACCACAATTAATCAAGGCAAACGCTCTTGACAGCAAAAAAATTCATTGACACTTTTTTTTCTAGTCTTTTCGGAAAAAGTTTCACATTGGCAGTGCAAAGCTTCAATTACGATTTTCGATTTGTTGTGCGAGAAAGAGGATTCGGAAACCCAGTGCCAATGAACAGGAGGGAAGCGTTCATTAAACGCTCTTCTTATGGCCAAACCGAGCTATCTTTTTCCCTTTTTGGTTAGCATTCAAACACATTCGTTTCACTCGTTCGCCGTCGGTCTTTTGTCCCAGGAACAATGGCGGAACCGCAGAGAGAGCCGGCGCAGAAGAGTGAAATTCATTTTTTCCATTAAATCGAGTCGTTGATTGTGCATGAAGTGAGGAGGCGCAAATGTCAGGGCTCTTCGGTTAGATGGGGGCGCCACGATACCTCGATAGGTTGCCATTGCCACCGTCGAGGAATACAACCCAGTCGAGTCAGCGGCGGAGCGCCACCTTCACCCCCTGGCAAATCGCATCGACATCCGAGTCCCACGGGAGCTGGTTGAGGAGAACGCGGAAGTCGAATGCTCTTATTTTGGGCCAAAGTTCTATCCACGCGGAAAATCTATAACTAAGCCATTAAAAACATAAATTAATAAAATCTTAGAAAATGTTAATTGCAAATTATTGGTTTACAGAAATGTGGCTTACACAATTCACTAAAACTTACATTTATATTTTCTATTTAATAATTTACTAACAGAATGCTTAGATACTCCAAATATTGTTGGATTTACATACCAAATGAATATTTTTTAATTGGTTAATTTTTAAAATTTCTCTTGAATTTCTTAAATTTGTTATATAAATAATATTAGTAGTTTTCTGTCTCGATTGGACTAATCACTATTTTTATATAATATTGTTTATATGATAAAAATACTGTTATTATAAAATGGTGTATAATTTCTCAAACTTAGACTTTGTAAGCGATACAACATGCAAAATAAAGCTTCTTCATATTTATATTGAATTGTACAACAATGATAAACTAAATATAGGTTTTCTTTATAAATATTGTAAGAAAACAGGTAATAAATACTGTTTTTCAAAGCTTAGAGCTTAATTCAAAATCTATAGAGTATTCCCAATTCGTTTTATCTTTCAGTTTACGACCATTTGACAAAACTTTTTCTCTCGAAATTCGATACACTTGCAAATGGCTTTTTGACAAACAATGACATGGACCGACTCACCTACAATTGCGGAGACATTTCTTTGCTTACCTTTTTTCTTTATCTCAACTCGCTTTTGTAACTCCCCTTGACGGCGAACGCATTTGCAAATGAATTGCTTATTGACAGTTTGATGGAATGATTCCCTGGCTGCCAATTGTCGATTTGGCAGACTTTTGTTATTCTTTAATTAAACGGTTTGCCCGCAAGAGAAAAAAACAAAGTGCACAACTGAAAAGGGATTAATTCTGTGAATGAGCTTCGAAAGATTTTCCAATTTCATTTTATGTAGGCGAATCAAATGCAGTGCATATAGCATACTTTTAGTAGCCATTGAAAATAATAGTAAAAAATCCTTATTCATAATCTGTTTTTAGAATTGCCATTAACAGGCATTTGTCAAGTTTTCAGCTCGCCAAGAAGTCACTTCCGGCTGACTGCATTTTTAAGGACACTCGAAATGCTATGTGACATTTCCCCTATCATTGCTTCGCCACTAATTGAAGTCGCCTCCAGCAATTAACAACTTGCCGGGCTGCTCATGTATGCAAAATCCATTAAATCACTTAAAACCATGAGAAGAGCACATTTGAAACCACTTCCAGAGCAAATGACACATAATATGACTACAAAACAGTTGCCGCGGAGATGTGCAGGAGTCGGGAAATTCGCAGGACACGCACTCGAAAGCTGGGCCCGCCCTTTCCGATGTCGATGATAATGTAACAACACTCAACCTCTTGGCAAGGCAAAAAAAAAAAGTGGAATATATAAAAGGTAGTGGGG